ATTTTTACTTCATCTAGTAAAATTAAAATATCTGGTAAAATTCAAGCAGTCAAAGCCAATTACAGGATACTCACAGGATATTTACTCTAAGTGTCTACATGAAAAATGAGTTTAAATCCGAAACTTAGTTTCAGCGGTAATACATTTACAAAGTTAAGTGTTTTGAATGGGTTTATTAGGTTTTAAATCAAGAATTTTGGAAATAATTTGCAGTTATTCTATTTATTCATTAGCTATTTCAGGAAGTATGCGTCGTAGAGCATAATGGGTTTTACCTGTAGATGCGGCTTAATGAGACGGGTCGATTGGTATTATAAAAGTTCAGTAGCGGAAAAGTGCAGATAAACGGTTTTGGCACTAAGGGGACGATTTACTAACTAATAAACTTCTCGCTTTCTAAACGCGCTTTGTTCGTTATTTTGAAAATGTACATATTAATAATTATAATTAGTAATAATAACTAATAGGAGTAACAATTAATTAATTCTTCATTAACAATTCTTATTAAAAAATAATGACCAAAAATATTTACAAAGAATAAGGAAATTTATTTAAATTCAAAATAGGGAACCCTTCTACTACAAAGGCGATGTTCTTGGCTGTATCATTTCGGTGGTGATTTTTTTACCATTTCGGTAGACAATTTTCATTTCAGTGGACTGCCGAAAACTCAGCCTTAAATATTTCAGTAAGTGGTGATTGTTGAATTTGACCCGTAGGATCGTTTAAAAATGAAAAAAAAACCATTAACAATACATTTTCTTTTTTTATTTTGCACCTTTAGTTGCATTTTGTGCAAAAACTATGGGAGATACGCGAAAATATGTTGATACCTTTTTTGTAGGAAACTCAGACCAAATAAAAAGTAAAGACGGAGTCTGCCGAACCAAAAAGTGAAGCCGGTTTTTTATGTATGTAGTGCATTAGCCAGTGTTACCATAGTCATATAAAACACCCCAATATTAGAAATATGTAATAACGTTATTCCATAACGTTATTAATAACGTTATAAAATATTAGAAAAAAATATCGTAAGCTTATTCTCTAAACCTCTCGTGAGCCAAAGGTCATGCGCCGTTCTCACCTACAAGTGCCGGACTTCTTTATGGACCGCCCGCCCGTGGGTGGGAACGATTGCATTGTTCTGCCGATTTCTCTGTTATTTTGTAAAAATACCCTTCACAAACGTATATTTGGATTCTCCATAAAATTTTCAATAAAACAGTGTGTACACAATGCGTCATGTCTATAATTTATTTTAATTACATTATGGTAAACTCAGGAAAGATAAAAAAAGTCGTTTAAATAGGTAAAATGAGTTATATTTTCAAAATTTGTAAATTATAAATCCAGGTTTTTGTACATATAGAATGTACTATATATAAATGAATGTATATAATAACTTACCAAATATAATTATAAAATATAACACGCAACAGAAAAAAAGGGTCGTGTTTCAAGTGTTGATAAAAACAAATGAGAGATCCAAGTGCCTTGATTTATGTGTTGACGTTTAATTATGTTGGATTGTTTATTTTACTTTAGTTACAAGTCTCGGATGGAATAGGTTTGTACAGTTTATAGTTTCAAGCACTCGCAACAAGGCACTTGAAATCGCTACCAAATCAGTCATCTCAACTTTATGTCGATAAAACGAAAAGCATATACAAATGTTGATAAATAGTTTCTTTTATTAAAATGTACATAAAATTTTCTATAGAATACACAAAATATAATCACTAGTTCCTATACAAGAACATAATAAAATAAATCCACAAACATCGCGAATTTTGGGTCAAAAAGGCCATTAAAAAGTAGATGCATCTTAAAACGGTGTGCACATTAGATGAGGCATTTTTCTAGTGTGCACAGTTGCGGTCAAGGATGAGTTTAAAATTAGCTAAGTACCAAATTAACATTATTTTTACTATTGTACTAATACTTTTAATGAACAATGATACTTAATTCAAGTAAGTTCGCTTTAATTTAGTAGCATAATACGGCAAAATGGGGAAACTGAAGCAAATAGTTCTACCACAACATGATAGATGGTGGGACTTGTACAAACAATAAGCAGTTAGCAAATAAATTATTGGAATCTTTAAAATATAAATTAATCTAAGTAACCATAATAATAGTAAAAAAAATACCTTTGGATATGCATTTTGTTTTACACGACGTAACCCTTTTGTTGTGTAGTACAAATCGTCGCTCTGAAAATGAGTCGAACAAACCACGCTGCGGGAAGCTGGTTGCCACAATGGTTCATTTCTACTCTTACGAATGACTGCAATCCACTTCTCTTTTAGATCTTGATCTCGATTAGGAAATCTTAAAAAAAACGTATAATATATAATATGTATTACATCCCAAAAAAATTATACGAATACATAAAGAAAAAAGATGTTTCGTGTAATTGTTTATCCATGCATTACAATATTCGAATAATATAAAAGTATGCCACACAATGTATTTAATAAAATAACGTTACGTTATATTTCACGCTACCCAACAAAAGGGTAAAACTGTAACGAATAATCATGGCAACATTTCGTTCAGGTTTTGTTTACAAAGCGACAACCTCAAATTTGATTTTGTTAATTGAAAATAGCAGTTTATAACTTTACTTACGTATGAAATGTGATTCCATCCTGTTTTTTATTCTTGGAAGATTGGTTTTTATACGTTTTCACTACACAATTCGGCATTTTCTCTAATAAATATTGTTATTTATTATTACGTCACACTCCGCGCGTCGGGATAGCTCGACTGAGAATCCAAGGCGTAGTTTCGTTGCATGTGTGTGCGTGTAACTGTGTATGTACACGGCGACAGTGTTGCCAACTCTACGTCTTTTTACGTAGATCTACGTATTTTAGGCCTTTTCTGCAAACCTACTAACTTCAGTCCCAGAATCTACGTATTTTCTTTAATTTTTTCAAATTTGTAAAATAACTTAATTCACTAGAATAAAGCAGAATATTTTCCGTTACTTTACTTAAAAATTATACAAATGTTTATTTCTTATAAAGATATATCTAAAAACTCTTGTTTCTTGTAGAAAAGGTTCACGTTATTGGTTTTGTTGACTAAATTAATGCTGGACGCAGGATTTGTGAAAGCAGAAACAACAAAACTCTTTGACTTAGTACCTACTAAGGTACAGTCATAACCTTAAAAATTGTATTTTTAAACTTTAAATATTATTTAATGAGTACTTACATTGAATTGATCTTTGCAAAATGAAATGACTCTCAGTCGATAAAGTTACAGGATTTAGCAAGTTTTAAACATGTGTTCATGTGTAAGTATGTTTATTTCTCTTGGCACACAATTTAAACCACAACTTTTCTAGTCTTTTACCAAGTGTATCATGATAACTACTATATTTTCATGTGATCTATTAGAAATCATAGTTTTATAATATTAACTCAGAAAGTTTTTTTACCTACGTGCTTGCGAGTGTTTGTTTACAAATGTTTTGACGTCATAGCATAGATAAGTCTATAGACTAAATAGCGTTTTTGTATGTGTTCTGGGTAAAAAAAATACATTTTTTTCGGTGTGATAAAACAATTATTAACAATTTTAAACATAATTCCAAAAAGTGTCAACTAGTCTATTTAACAACAGTTTATCCTTGTCATTCTCTATACAGAATGGAAAGGAGAGACTGATGTTAAATTTAGTTTTAAATATAGAGAATCATGCCAGAATCGACACCCACCAATGTCTGTGTCAAAATGTCTACCACGGCATGGTAAATGCTTCCAATGCTGCGACTTCTCCAAGAACTCTTTGTTCTATCTCCCGTTTTCAAAGAAATTGTATAACAAAATACTCGTTTTATTCGGTTTCGCCTAGCTTCTTCATTTCACTCAGAAAAAAGTACGTAGATCTACGTACTTTTCATATGCAAAAATTACCAATTCTACGTAATTTTCTCATCGGGCCTACGCCTTTTTCAAAATCCGAGTTGGCAACACTGCACGGCGAGGCGTAGTTTTATCGGCTTCACTTTTTGGTTCGGCAGACTCCGTCTATACTTTTTATTTGGTCTGAGGTAGGAAATAAATTTTCTACAACTTTGTACTAGGAAGTTTTTCTATTTTTCCAGCCAGTCGCGAGATATTGACGAAAAACTCGTTTTTGCACCATTTCGCATTTTTTTTTCACCCTTTGCCGTCAATGCAGCACCCTGCAATTTTAGTATATTAATCTACGAACCCTTGCGAAAATTTTCGCGTTGGTTGCAGGTGATCAACTCAAAATGGCAAAGTTAAGCCTTCATTGACTGGACTTTATAAATTACAGAGTAAGGTACATCAACAAGCCAAAGAAAGAGCCCTTCCCATCCCCTCCCTTTCAATGTCATTAAACCTTTTGGTATAAAAAATAACAGTAATTGGTGTTAAAGTGGGGATTTTTGGATTAACACGAGCGCGACAGATCTAACATAATTATGTACCTAGTGAAGTACTCCCACCATACCTGAGCCCTGTAGCTGTAGGTAGAGCCGACGTCTAGGGCAGCCAAACAAGTTTAGTTTTACAAATCCTCAAATATGAACCTAATGGTATGATGGATGAGTACACTTTAAGGGTTTAAAATTTCATAGATTGATTACAGCATCTCTTGTTTTTAATAGTACCTTTATTATCTAATAATGTTACTGCAACTCATGTCAATCTTTCACCAAGATACATGAAATATTATATTTTTCAAATGCTGTCATACTAAACAAGGGTCAGCAGTCCATTAAACTTTCAAAATGGACAGTGATTTTAAAATTCATACAATAAATGCAATAGAAGATATTAATACATTGGTTATGCTAAAATATTTGTTTCTTTTAAGAGGAATAATTAACCCTCATTATACATTACAATAAAAGTACCTATGCAATAAAACTAAAAAACTAACATTAAAGCATGAAGATAACAATAAATTCCTATAGGACCTTGCCATATATTGTTAAGTATAATGTTATTATTTTTGGTTTATCGTGGCATTGGTGGCATACTTGGCATTGGTCCTGAAAGAGCAGCATTGGTGCCCAATAGTACCTGAAACAGATGAATACAAAATATTTATCATTCAGTTTGTTCAGGTTTAATAAGTTTTTTAATTTATGTGATATCAAATTTATTTGCTTGCATTCACCTGCTTTTGTTGTGATTTCTGCATCTCTTCTACTTGTGCTCGCTCAACTTCAAATATAACAGGGGCAAAGAGAATGACTGAGGAGCTAGCCACTATCCACATAACAGAACGAGACAAGCCATATAAAGATTTCATACCTGACCTGTGAAAAATATTAATGTCTATTAAGCAGTTCACAATAATAAATTATGAAGAAAAGTAAAATATAGGTGAGATTTATTCAGACACATTTGGCTTTTCTGGGTAAATTTCTGACAAATAAATGTTTGTCTGGATTTAGAGCCTTCCAGTTCAAATAAAAAATAGTTTTCAGACATTCCAATATTCAAAAAGAAATAACAATATAGTTGATATATTTTTTATTTGCCTGGGCCAAAGCATATTTATCAAGTTTAATTTCTTATAATCTCAAAATTTTACAGTTGAAAAATATATAAATATCAAATAAAATACCGACCATGATTTTGTGGTGACTGTGTAAGTACCGTTTCGAACACACTCGGGAAACATCTCCGTCAGTCCCCATAATCTTTCAGAAAGAGTTTCATCAGGTTCCTGCACAAGTTGACATAACCTCTTTATACATTTGAAGCATGACTGATCAGATATGTGAAATCTTGTTCACTCCCCAATTAGAAGTCGGAACAACTAAGCATCGAATGAATACAATGAGGAGATGTATTGTATATTATAAGATGTCTGTGTACTCACATCGTCATATTCCTTGAGTGGACCTGCAGTAGTAGAAGATCCTAGCTGAAAATAAAATGTCAGGTCTGAATTTTAGAATATTTACATAAAATTGTTAGAGGCGGAATCGTTTTTTCACGTACCGAAGGGGTTATGAAGGATTCTTCTGGTCTACGTTCAGGTGTATCGTCTTTACTAGCAATAAGAGATTCCATTCCGCTGTCACTTTGATCCAATTCATCAGTCACATCAGTGATCATGATACGTGTGAAGTAAGACGTTTAGTAACTTACGGGTTGTAAAATATTTTGGTTGTAATAAAAATCCGATTATAAAGAAATAGCAAGCAAGTCTTATCTCTAAATTAATTAAATTTCGTTAGTTTAAATCACTACTAAACGAATGAAAATGATAAATGAACGGAATGAGTAGCGAACGATAAGTACCACAGATAAGGGAGAAGCAAGAGAGAGAAATATGTACAAGAAGAGAAAAGAACGAACGATCGTATCCATATATTGGGTATGTGCATCGAATTCGAACCCTTGAACCAAAATTTAACAAACCATGGACGTACTATATACGCCTGTTGCCTTATAATGGTGGTTTTCCAATTACAGCACTAGTGCGCATTATGCGGAATAATGCATAACGTTGAATATTTCAACTACAGCAACGCTTCGCACAATCGAGCACTCGCAAATATAATGTTTTCTTTCGTGTGATGCGTGCAATCAAAGAGTAGTATTCATATTATGCGTGCAATAGTACCAACTTAGTGACAGAAAATTAAGTGTTTTTTCTTTAAGTTGGCTTTGATCGAAATGTTTTATTTATCGTTAGTAATATTATTTATTGTTGATTTTTTTAAAGCTTTCGTTTCATTGTAGCTATTTTTAAATAATCAAAGTTAATTCAAACTGTGTTATAAAAATAAATATAAGTTGTGGATGAAGGTAGAAACATTGACTTTTTTTTCAACACTGAAATTAGCGCACTCTGCTGGTGCATTTGTAAACTAATTCACGTTCTAATTAGGCATCAGCATAATTCGGCATTGTGCGCCACTGAGTCGCATTATGCTCTGTAATTGGAAAACTACCAATATACAGTTTGTCTATAAAGTCGTGACATTAAATGATGGCGCCACTAGTATGCATGTAGCAACCCTATACAGTCGGATCAAAATGATTTTGATACTAGCAGTTCATTCAAGTAAAATAGGTAATTAATAAGACACACTTTACAGACGTATTTTGTTTCTGTTTTATATATAGTAGGTACCTATGCTTATACAAAGTTTAGCCAAGCATATTTAATTGAATCAGAATAAAATTATTAAAGATAAAATAGTACTTTATAGTGTAAAACTGTGTAATGTTGGTGACTACCGCTGAGGTGCCATTGAGGCCAGAACCATTAGGTAATCATCAATACATACAAGTATCATCATACGACGTTTTTTAACACACTTGTTAAGAAAATAATACTAAAAATCATTTATAGTATATAAAAAGTTTATTTAGAGAAACAATTTGTAAATGTGCAGTTAGTAAAATTAGTGATAGGTATCTTCACTAAAAGCATCTGGCCATGGTTCTTTCTGTGACCATTTCTTTGGTCGGCCTTGCCTGTTTTCCAGGAGTTTCAAACTTTCCATCATTCTTAAAACCTTCGTTGACTATCCGACTCTCTGATTTTCCTGAAAAAAAGTAAAAAAATATGTAACGGAATAGAAACAATAACTTATTGACATGAAGCAATTAATTCAAAATTGGTAGATAACCTGACCGAGTTGAACCATAATAACGTATCAAAAGAAATGGTCGTACTACAATATAACCTATTTACAATGTCAATCTAACTTAAAAATGTGCAATGTAAACAATGCCTTTTTTGGTCTCAAAATCGTAAATTGAGTAAATTTTTAACTTCAGGCAGATTACAAACAAATAGTTACACGATTACATACCCGTCATAGATGCTGTTCGTCCATAAACATCATCCAAACTTTAAAAATCACTTCCCGCGTGCCACTCCGATTTACTTTACTCATTTTTATACCTTTCTGTGTAGTTTCGTCTTAATTTATTATAGTTTAATCCAAACAATAAAAAATACAGAAGGAAAACTGTTCCACAACTGAAACTCGATAACAGCTGATGTACATAAGTTTGGTGTTGCCAGACACATGAATAATGTTAGTTCCTCAAACATTCATGTCACGACTTTATAGACAAACTGTATCTATGATATAAACAGGACTGTATTGACGAAAATTGACATAGGTGTCGACTCTGGCACGATTCTCTAAATCTAAACTTAAATTTGACAACAGTGTATCCTTGTCATTCTCTATACAGAATGAAAAGGACAGACTGATGTTAAATTTAGTTTTAAGTTTAGAGAATCACGCTGGAATCGACACCATAGTCTTGTATTGAACATACTAAAGTTTATTTTTCGTAGTCAGATACAAGAAGGGCCAACCCGGGCACATGGAAATCGCAATCACAACTACCTATTATTATTGACAGACTATACATTCGGAAAATATCATTTGAAAACATTTTAAAACCGTCAGGGCCGCGGTAGCATAATGGTCAGTACATTCACCCGGATAGCGAAGGGTGCGGGTTTCAGTCTCGTCTGCAGCATGGTCCGCGTGGATATTTTTTATAGTAAAATATTCTTTAGATTTAAACATCTAGCAATATAATGCATAAAAAATTAAAAATTATAACTATAATTGCTATTTCTTCTTTCAAATGTTTAATACTTGTAAAGGTATTCATTTGACATCACCTACAATGCGAAGAGATGGCACTGCCTTGCAGCTTAAGAAAGGCTATAGAAAATTCGACATAGACTTCGCGGTAGCATAATGGTCAGTGCATTCACCCGGATAGCGAAGTGTGCGGGTTCGAGTCCCGTCTGCTGCCTGATCAACGTGGAATTTTTTCTAGTAAAATTTTCATCATTTTATTTTGATACTAAACCCCTATTTAATAACATTGTGGAACCATTATCATCATCATCAGTCTATTATGTCTCCACTGCTGGGGCACAGGAACATGCCTTTCCATTGAGCCATGCATGACCCACCATGCAGGCCCAGTGCGGATTGGTGGCTTGCTAACGACTGCATGCAGTCGGGACCAATGGAAATTAACACACATTAAACTTAATGTGCCATCCGAAGCACGCTGAAGATAATAAAATTTTGAATTTAATTATAATGGCAATTGTCTGTAGTCTAAACTTATTCCTGCTTTATTAATTAGGGAGTTCGAGTGTGATTGATGTACAGACCGTGATAGGTGGTACCCACAAACTTAAAATATATGGTGATACCACGGTATTAGAAAGACAGTTTTGCTCGCGTATCTCGTGGGTGCTTAATAGTTGATTGATGGGTGGTTTTGCGTGTTTTGCTTAGAGAGTAAAGTAAAAACCACTTTGGTAAGTCAGGTTCAACGATGTATAAAACGGGGATTTTTAAAATGATCTATGGGTGATTTAACTGCCGAACTACTAAAATAGCGGAAAAACTTTACCAACGATCATGGGAATAAAGTTTAAACTATACAATACACTTTCAATAGTTTTTTTTATTATTTATCTTACTTGGCAGTCGCTTGGTGTGCTACAGGTGGAAGGGGTTTCTGCAGGCATTTTGTACTTAAGACTTCATTATATAAAAATATTTCACAATTATAAAATTTTATACTTGACGGCTCCAGAAATAATATTTTTTTGACATTCTCTTTGACGGACCATGTTGATAGAAAAAAAATACGTTAGGGTCAATTCTAAACCTAAAATTTGAAGACAGTTTATCCTTGTCATGCTCTATACAGAATTTGAAAGAGAGACTACTAGTCAAATGAAGTTTCAAGTTTTAAGAATTATGCATGAATCGAGCCCATTCTAAATTTATAATTTATTTGGAAACCTAAAACGGAGACGGAAATTTGTATGCGTAATCGCTATTTAATGTAGTAATGCTTTACACATTATCACAATGGGATAAACTTTTTACTTTCCAAAAAGTAAAGCATAACCATGGCGTAACGGTTTAGCTAGAGAGAACTTCTTTTCGTCATATTTCTTTTGCGTCGTTTTTTTGTAGCCCATGGACTTATATGTCGCAGCCATATCGCAGCAGTGTGTAACTTCGTAGCCGATTTAATATATTTTGTACTAAAAACAGAACAGATATCGCAATAACGCCTTCAATTATCGAGCGATAATAACGCGCCTATGGGGGGGAGGAGGCTTTATTGTGATATAACGTGTGGTTATTCTCGCAACTTTGTAATACTTTATAACTGTTTTTAATTAGTAATGGTGCCAATTCTGGCGTGATTCTTTAAATTTAAAACTAAATTTAACATCAGTCTCTTCTTTTCATTCTGTATAGAGAATGACAAGGATATACTGCTGTCAAATTTAGGTTTAGGTTTAGAGAACCATGCTAGAATCGACACCATTGTTACTACTTACATAAAAACAAATATCGCAAAATCGCATCCGACATTGGTGTCGCTTCTGGCATGATTCTCTAAACTTAAAACTAAGTTTAACATCAGTCTCTTTTTCTCATTCTGCATAGGGAATGACAAGGATAAACTGTTGTATAATTTAAGTTTCACTTTAGAGGATTATGTAAGAATCGACACCTTTATCGACCATTAATAACGCGCTTTTATACCATAATGTTACGTCAGATAAATATAAATCCAGCATTAGGCTACGTTCCAAAGCTACAACGAATTTTGACATAATGTATGGAACTTATGTCACATTCGTGAATCAACTGGATCTGTAGAGCATGTTTGGAACGTAGCTCGTAATCTGTGAATTTGGCCCAATTTGGCAAATCAATATAATTTTTCAAGTTTTTTCACAGTTTTTCAAACTTTCATAATTATCGAATTGTAGTATAAGTATTTAGATAAAGTTAAGATAAATTCAAGTCAAACTTTTATCTATAACTGGTACGGTGTATTTATGTATCTTGTTTTAATAGGTTCACAAATTAAATATTGCAGTGTAATTTCTTCAATTGCTTCAGCACGTCAACTTGAAGGTATGTTCTAAATGTATTCCTAGTTTAACGTAGTTTAACAAAAACAAGTAATTGGTTTTCAAAATATTTGCTGTGGCAGCACAAGTTGTAATTTTCGTAGGAAGTAATGTACTACTTTTAATTAGATGTCAAATTTCAAAGTCAAAAGTGTTTGAATACTTTCAATAT